TAAGGATAAATGTTACGTTAACTCACTCAAAGACGACTGGTGCTTGAAACATGAAATCGAAGTTTCCATTCATATGACTGGATCCCAAACAATCGAAAATATACTGAAAAATTGGGTTGATCGGATGAGGTACTGTCAAGGTCAAGCCAGCCGTGGTAGTCATTTGAATGATGTTGTGTTTCACTCTTAAATGAAAATGTCCAATCTTTCTAATAAACTCATAATTTTGAAAAATATTCATTTTTTTAATAGCCGATTCAAATTCCAAAAGTTAGACTTCCCCACCCTTAAAAACAAAAAAATTACGAAAATTAACCTTTGTCTCAGAACCCATCAAGAAAAGTAACTGAATTATTGCTTAACATGGTAAAACTAAAATATTATTATCTTAATTGTAATCACCCACTTTATAAAGTAAATTAGATCATTTTCACTGCAGTAATTGCTCACGATATAATTGTGGAGCAAATCTATTTCACAGCTGCAGTTAATGAATTTGTTGAAAAAAAAGTCAAATTGCTTATTTTAAACAAAACAACAAAAGCGGTTATCATTGCTTTTTTATTTTACATTTATATGATTTTAAGCCTTCTGATAAGCAGCGAATAGAAAACATTAAGAAAGAAAAGAATATTATTTTTCAATACGATTAGTAAATTATTTAACCTTTAGCTATAAAAAATACGAACTCGGGCTGGAAGAGGCTACCGATTCGCTTAGTGTTAGTGATAGGTTTTATAAAAATTGTCAACAAAATTAATTACACAGGACTTAAAAAGTATTGTAATTATAAAAACTTTTGTAGAAGTTAGCGGATTTCCCCGTTGTTACAGAAACTCATACAAATGGTTCAAATGCAAAAATTTTGAATTCAAATTCTTTTTGTGAGACATAGCTTTAAATCATTGTTAAAATGAATATATTGTAGAGACATTAGATATTTTTGGAAGCAGGAAAGATGAAATATATGCAACGCCTTCGCCGGGAATCGAAACACGGACCTCTGGAATACGCGCCCAGCGTGCATACCACCACACCACGAAGGCATGCTAAGAAAGCGGGAGAAATATCTTATAACATGTCTATCTTAAAAACCCGCCAAACAGGTATAATGGTTAGCGTTGCTGGCTGCCGTGCCGAATGGCCCGGATTCGAATCCTAGAAAAGGCATGGATGTTTGTAAATGTATATTGTCCGTGCGGCATGAGAAAACTCTAAATATGCGACAGCCAGAAGTCCTCTCGAGAGACTGGTGGTTGGAGAAGAGGGATGAGAGACCCTCGAACCCGTACCCTCGGAGTGTTCTCCATCAAAACTCGGGGCGGAACTGAGCTAAATCACCCCGTCACCTGTAAGGTGCTGTTGCTAACGACAGGCGTAATCTTGCGCTCCTTGCCACGAGGAATTTCTTGGGCTGATGCTAAGGTCAGACAAGTGAACATAAGTAACAACAACAACAATATATCTAAATGAAATGTAGTGTATATATGTAATTTAGTAATATGAAATAAAGTGTATATATGTAATGTAGTCTATGTTGTAATATGAAATGTAGTGTATATAGTAATATGAAATGTAGTGTATTTAGTAATATGAAATGTAATGCATGTAGTAGTATGAAATGTAGCGTATATGTGAAATGTAGTGATAGTTTGAAATCAATGTATTGTTTGAATAAAATGTATGCATTATATAACTCTAGAAAACACAGCACTATATGATTTAAAATAAACTGGAAAACAAATATAATAATTATCTTGAAAATAGTAACTACACATGACAGAAGTCATGTATGTTCAGTTGTTAATAATATGTAAAATTCAAAAATGCTCTTCTTTGTTACTTTCTATAAAGTTTCAACAGGTGTAGTAATCACACAAAATCGCATTAAAACATTTGTCATATTTGGGTAAAAATTCTTTATAGAGTAATTCATTGTAATTTGAAATCGATGCTCTACCCCTTGTTAAAATTTTTCATGGTAACTATATATTGAATATGTTTATAAGTTAAAGAAAATGTAATATTTTAATATAAACAATAATTTTTAAAAGAACAGACCTGTAAAGTAAATATAAAAAATATGTAGGCAAGAAACTGCATTTGGCTTAAGCATATCGAAACACTAAATAAAGTTACATAACAAGGCAAAGAATTCACAGTAAATTTATATAGCATAATGAAATTAAAAATTATAAATAGCAAGCTGTCAAACAAAATACATACGGAATATTAAAGATAAATGTAAAATAACAAAAGTATTTATGATTTGTTTCCTACAAACGACACACAAAAAGGATAAAAATGGTTAACGGGAGTAGGATTTACACATTCTCGTTTAACTTATTGCAAAAGAGATATGCACTTTCAAGCAAAATACTGAATACATTTAATAAATTTTCTAGCTAGTATCTTATTAGAAATTTCAGTATTTTATATTCCAGTGATGCAACTCTAACGTTGTTCTAACTCTAACGTCATGCTGTTCTAACATATAACAGTAACAGAATAATAAACCATTTTCTTTATTCATGAGCGCAGAAAACATTATTTTTTATCCCGGTGATAAAAGCTAGTGGTTGTAAAAATGAATCGTTTTAAGAAAATGATATATAGATACATTTATTTGCCGACTTTGCAAAATTTCCATCTATTAAAATAACTCGTGAAAGTTATTCTCCTAATAAAATGTATTTTACGCTATTATTTCCATTCATTTTATTTATTTCAGTAGTATAAGAAAAATTTATCGCTCATTCTAAATAAAAGTGCAAAGAATTTAATTGAGAATTTAACAAATTAGTAAAGGAATGTCGCACGAAAAGACTGGAGCGATGGTGCTAAGTAACGTTAAGTTTTTAATCTCAGTCCAGCTTATATTCATGAAATCTGTAAACAATAGAAAATATTTATTCATTTTATTCAATAAGAGTATTTAACAGATCAAAAACATTTCATTACACTTTGCTCATTAAAAAAAGTCTGATATAGGAAACCACATATTTTCCTTATGCGCGGCCTATGCACATTTTTTGTAACTCTTTTATGCTCATTTTTTGTTGCATTTAATTAAACTTATTTCCTCGAAATTCGCTACAGATATATTTCTCATTCAATTAATTCAGTTCCCATTTCGCGGCAAGGTAAAAATACATCAAAACTCAAAACATCTTCATTAAAAATTGAAAAATATCGAAAAACATAAAACATAAAATACTGTTAAAATAGATTTTACAATTAAAATTAGAGTTTCTACACAAAACCAAGCAGTTCGGACAGCGGTCAAAAAGGCAGATTTTTCGATAGACAAATTAAAAATGTACTTTTGGTCCCAGTCGGCAAAAAGTCACTGAAAGTGAGAAACTTACTTAATTCAGTACTCTGCTAAGTTTGAAATGTAAACAAATGGCTGCTCCATTAGGCTTAGTCACACTTAAACAACTTATAAATTGTTGATAATTCTACAACTATTGCATGTAGATTAACTAAAGGGCATAAAATCCTTAACCGGTACCTGAGAACAACATAATTCAATTACTTTTAACGCAAAACATGCATAATTTTGCAACATATCGAGATCAGCTAGCCAAGCAACAGAGTGGGTATATCTATTTACATATTTTTGGTGCAGCCGATTGCAACCCAAACGGGAGATGTACAACTGCATGATGTAACAGTCTCATATATAAATTTTCAAGGTTCTGAGGCAAATCGTTTTTGAGTTATGCGAAATATATACTTACGTACGGAGAGACATCACGAAAAAAATCCCTTCTAAATCAATTTTAAATCCAATTTTTAATCCGTTTTGGGCAAAAGAGACCTTTATTCTCTCCGTTCGTACACATGTTAAGCAAAAGTATCGTTCAGATGGATTCGAGAGCGATCAAAATGGATATTTTCTTTGAACTATGATACCCGAAAATTTTCGCTATTACAATATTTTTTTTACATAGTACAGGGAACTAAATGAATGCATAAATGTTTATCAAAGCCAAAGCAATGAATGGCCATTTTCGGTTCATTATGAATATCAACTAGTACAGGAATAAAGAGAAGCAGTAGTAGACTTGTACTATTAATAGCAAGTTCTATCTGCGGAAAAATAATAACACTTTAAACCTCTAAACAAATTAGTAAAAATATGCTTTTGAGCTTCTCAAAATTCCCACGTTTTCTGCCTTCCTTTCTTCCTATAAGCCGTGCCTCCTATATTGGTTTAACTTTTAATCAGAATAAAATAGAAAGAGTCTGGGTTCTGCGTTTGCCATCAAATTATCGCTCTTTATCTAAAGAGAGATTTTAAATCATTTAAATAGTTTTAGCAGTTACGTAAACATTACGGGACTTGTTACCAAACAGCATGGAATTTTGTAGGGATTTTTGTTTCGTGTACCTGAAGCTTTCTCTTAGTGTCAGATCATCTGGCACGTTGCATAAAAGAATTTAGGATACATTAATTAATATTAATGATTTCAATTTGCTGTTTTATTAGTAGTTTGGACAGCATGGCTTTGATCCAGTTAATTTTTTTTATATTAATAGACGGGCTTTGTCGGTCTCAAGAATGCGCTCGAAGCTATCAATCTGATTTGGCACTTCATCCTCTATTTCGGTAGTGCATACTTCACAAAGATAATTGCTTCGGTTTGTCATAGCTTCAAACGCTGTATCCTGTTCTTCTTGACAAAATTTAATTAAATTTAATATACTTTATCAATAAATAATGATAGCGTAATGTGATCCAGCTTCCTTTAAGAAATATACATAGTATATAATTATTATGATCTGGTTTGCTTCTAATATATTTCTTACTAATATAAATGTTTCTGTTTTTATAACATTTAATGTCACTTATCAATAAGTACTTTAATTCTAGGGCTGTTTATTAGTTTGAAATGAACGCAAATTACATAACGGCTTGTTATATAAAATCCATTATGTGCTTAAAAAATAAATATATTCAAATTAATGCTAAAAAAATCCAATCCTTCCTACAGATTTTTGACTACCTTCAAAACAGATTCCTACGCTTCTGTGCGTTCCTTCCGTCTTCAAGATCTTCTCTCCCATGCATTCGCCCTTCGAAAAGTTACGGTCAACATAGAAGAATCTACTTTGTCTCATCAAGTGCAAAGAGCTTTCGGAACCAAACTGCGAGAACTGGTCATCACTGGTTCAAATTTGCAAAGAATCCTTCCTGACGCATTTTCAGGATTATCCACTCACGAACTGACAATTCGGATTAGCGGAACAATGGTCAGCAAATTTCCTGATGGTTTATTGCGTTATTTACCAGATGTACGTTACTTAACTTTGGATCTAAGGAACAATCAGCTAACCACCATGGGGCCAGGTGTCTTGGCTGCAGTTACAAGAGACGGGGAAGATGTTCATCAGACACAGCATATAACGGGTAAGGAATTACGTATGTTTAATTAACATTTAATCTCTTTATTTTGTTTTACATAGACATTCTGGAAAATTTTGCGAGAAATGTTTTCATTAATACCCAGTTATTTGTTGTATATGGGGAGAAGTGTTACGAAGCTATAAGGACACTATTTTTTCAGTACAGGTATTAACATCCTATGTAAATTTATTCTTTTAAAACAAGAAATTTGAAGTTTGACATAAGGTAGATCAAAAGTTAAAATTCTTGTGTAAATTTCAAATGCAGCTCTCTTATTTATTATCATTACACCCAAAGCAGCATATTTATAAGTAACAAATAATGTGCACAAAACGGTGAGAAAATTACTTTTATTTAGCTGAGATATATAACATAAGGCCGACGAAACCCCTTTCCTAAATTAAACGAATGATGTAAATGTTTACCATAATCATCAATTAAATCCATTATAAATCATGCGATAATTTCCTAGAAGATGCTAAAGTTCTTAACAAGTAAATTCATATGGTATTCATCAATTAACTTGAAAGTTCTCGTGGTTTTTCTATCTGACTGATAATGATGCTGAGCGTTGCTGCTAAAGCCTCTCTGAGGTGGTATTTAGGAAAGTGAGAGTGATATTAATTAGGTACTGAATAAACATAAATAATTACAGATTTATTGTATTAATAAAAACTTCACGGCATTGCTAAAAGATGAAATAAGTTAAAATTATCAACCAACTTTTATATTGTTTTTATATTGTTCTTCCAGACTGCTAAGACGCACATTATCCCCTCAGTTTAAATTTTTACGTGATGTACTGTACGTAAACTGCCCTTCAAAAGTTAAAAAACGTCAAGATTTTTGTGTATAACTTGAGAATGAAGCAACATAGAAGCAAGAAATGTAGATGACATGCTCACTAAACAGTTCTTTAATGAATGAAACATAGAATGTTTCCAAAACTTTAACATAAAGATGAATTACAACAAAAAAGCACTCTTGGCAGAGGAATCCTGTCTTGGAAAAACAAGTACATCACAGGTTTTTGAAAATAAATGTGATTGTAACATTACAAAATGGGCTCTAATATGGAATGTGTCCACCCCTAGATGCAATACATTGATGGTAGCGCCATTCCTTGCTGCTAAGTAAGTTATCAGTCAGTTAATGGGACGCAACGACCAGACACGGAGTAATCGTTGTTCAAGCTCATCTAACGACCTTGGAGGAGGACTTAAAGCCTGTCTCACAAAGTAATCCCAAAGAAGCTGTATTGAATTCAGGTCTGGGGATTAAGCTGGCCATTCCATCCGCTCCATACCGTCACCCTGAAGATATTCTTCAGCAATGCGAACTTGGTGGGGTTTCGCATTGTCGCCATCAGAAGAAACAACAGGACCAACAGCAGATGTATATGGGCGGACATATTGATCAAGGATCTCGTCTCGAAATCTCACACCGTTCAAAGTTCCTCCATGGTACACATCCAAGTCAGTGTGACTACCAAGAGAGATCCCCGCCCACAACCATTCCATCATCTGTGTAACTGTGTCTTTCTAAAGTGTAGGATTGGCATATGGTGCGGTGTTCCCTCTAGACTACCTGACGATCTGAATCATTCTCGAATTTCTGAATTGTGAATTGTGAACTTGTAATGGTCTGTGACGAGAACAAACGGCACCTCTGTCTCCTCGGGCCATGGGGACAAAAATTTAACTGCCGTCTTTCATACAGATCTGTATTGTGCAGGCGTCTGCGCACTTTAGTAGCTGAGATTCTTGTTCCTGTTACCACTAAATTATCTGCTATGACCCGAGGCATAGTAATGTTGCTCCTCCTTCGCGCCGAAATAACTAAATAACGATATCCTGCAGGTATTGTAAATTTTGGTCTGCCTGGAACATGTCTTCTAGAAACAGAATCCTCGGATTCAAACTGATTCCATAGTCGGAGGGCCACACTACGAGAGACATTGAGACATCTAGCTGTATCAGCTTGTGACATTCCCATTTCCATGCATCCGATGGCCCGCCACCTCAACGAATCGGGCGAGAGACTTCTTTTGGATATTGTCAATGAAACTGCTAATAACAATTGAAGATCAACACTCATGAACAAAACTTACAATTTTTACACTTTTCTCTCCAGCTTCTCTATGTAAGGCTTCATTTCGATAAAATAAAAGTGGTAGGTATTATTTTCTCACATATTTTCTTAAACTTCGTTACTATCATGCACATAAATTGTGAATTTAAATGTTAGAGACATTTTTGTGATGGCGAGCTCTGAAAAACATGCTGTTCCTTATATTTTGGAGGGAAGTTAATTCGAAAGAAATAACAATAAATCACGTTTAACAAGTTAAACTGAATTTACCTATAATGCATTGCTACAGTTTGAATCATAAGTGCCAAATTCGCAACCGATCTTAGAATTATCATTTCGCTAAAGTAAGTATGCGATTAATATATAGTCAAAATTTTTTAAAAACATTTACCTAAAAATTAAAAGAATATCCGAGTTTCTGAAGTCAACAAAGTGTTTAGATATCGAAACAGGGTTAACTAATTAACTTATATGAAACCTACAGTTTCCTTTTATTTACGTTCATTACATTAAAATTCCTTGAGCAATACTTCTAAAGAAATTTTCAAATATTTATAAAGCATCACTAAACTTTGATATACTATTTGCATCTAAATTCAGAAGCGCAATATAAGCATTATTTTCACGACAGTGAAGTTTAAGTCGCAAGGAATCAGAGTTTCTGATGCTACTATAATAAATTATGCTTTTGATTCTGTAGGAGCATAAATAATTAGAGGAAATAATGCATTGTATTACTGAGATTTTCATCGGCTATTTAATAAATAAGTACATCTTCATTTCTGTAGAACAATTTTATGTTAAACATGAATTCTTTCTGGCCGTACACTTCAAAGGTTGCTGACGTCTGTTACCTAATATTAAAAGTCTGTGCACAGAAGCATTCTTCATCTTCAGTTTTCGTCTTCAATTTCTTTGGGTAATGTTGACGTAAGAAATATCTTTAGAGGAGTCTTTACAAATTTTGGGAACATTCTCCCATGACATTTATCAAGGGGCCTGATAGGTGTTACAGACGTACAAGATAAAAGATCTTTATCTTATACGCGGCCTGGCGAATAAAAGGTTTACAGAAAACTGCCATTCAACATAAGTAAGACTTCTAATCTATCTTTCAAATTATAACTGCTTTCAAAAATAAATTATATAAAAGCAATAAATACCATTTATTAATAATTTAAATCGTATTTTATTGGCACCAGAAACACTTTTAGTCGAGTCTTTGAATAATTTTGGACTATTATGTTTCATTATTATGCACTTATCATCCATGTAACTCGAGAGGTGTTGTCATTACTCAATTTTTTTAAACCAATAGCGGACTTTAAGCCTACTTCGGCTTGGCCACTACTAAGTCCAAAAGTGGTAGTCAGTTTATTACGGAAGCATCTAATAGATGGGCCACCTTTGCCTCCTATGAAGCGACGAACAGTTACGTCCATGCCTTCTCTGGGATTAGAACCCGGGCCCTTTAGTATCACAATCGGCTCTCCTAACCACTACACCCGTTTGGGCAGCTTACCCAAAATATAGTCATTATCTCTCGTATGCGAATAGCCAGTCGCAGAATGTTTGCAGTTCGGCAAAATGTAAGTTCTTCAATTTATCTCTATAATTAAAATAGCACTTTGATAAACTAAACGAGAGTTTTATATTACCAATAACTATAACAGTACCTGCATTATATAATTTGTAATGCATCTAACTTCGCATTCATAATTTTTATCAATATTTGCACCACTTTGTAACTAAGAAAAGACATTTGTAATGTTGTGTTAGATACCTACTTAAAAATCTTTTGCACGAGGCCTAACAATGAATTATTTTAATAACCATTAATATGATTGTATTAAATATCTATTTCATTATCAAGATTTTTTTCAAATATTGTTTAAAGAATCCTTAATGTTGTTTATTTGATCCTCAGAAGCATTCTTTCTCCTACTACTAACTAAAATAACAAGTCGAAGAACAAATATTGGAGATGCTGAAGCAACAAGAATTATTTCTGCAAATTTAAGAAATTTACTTCTACTCTTGTTGTTTCAGTATCTTCAACATTCTTTCACTTGTTAAACTATTGCGATGAATTTCATTCAGTAATCTTCGAGCCCACCAGCGGCTGAGCGGTAAAGTCGCTGAACACTGGTAGTTCGGTCCGAGGTTCGAATCCCGCGAACGGGCTGGCTGCATGGGTGTTTAGGTGGTTTTCCCCATGTGTAACGTGTATACGAGCCAGTTTCTCTTAGAAAGTCCTCCACGAAGGCATCCCTCCTCTTAGGCAGATAGCCTTAGTGTGCTTTGCCTTAATCAAATACACACACACACACACACATTCAGTAATCTTCATTTTCAACGATTTATTAAAACCTAATCTCATTTCCAAAAGTCATAGCATATTTTTAAAGTAATATCTTTTTTTTTGTTGAATTTTTTTCCATACTTTTTTTCTAACAATTTTCTTCTGGCTCTGAAAAACAGACCATGGTGATAAAGTTTTTTAGGGCTTTTTTGCAACGAAAGTTGAAAAAAAAAGTTCTATTTAAAAATTGTTTTCACCTGTTTAATTTTTTTAAATAATGTATCGAAAAGCTTTCATTTTGTTTCAATAAAAAGTTAATATTTGGGACTTCCTATTAACTAGTAGATTTTTAAGGCAATTTAAAATAAAATACTATTATTTTTTTTCAAAAGGCAAAAGTAGCTTATGAACAAAGAAATTCATTTTTGAAACAGAGTTTTTCAAAGAGATAAAGTGCTCTCATATTATGAAAATAGTTTGCATTAAAATACGAGGGCTATCCAGAAAGTAGATTACGTTTTGGAATAAAAAAATAAACAAAGTATAGGAAACAAATTTTATTATATACAGATGAAAGCCACACTCAAATACTACTTTTCTACATAGTCAC